ATACATACATACATACATACATACATACATACATACATACATACATATATAATGAATTGTGAAAAAAGTTTTCTCTAAATGTTTTTGAAAAATTAATATATGACGCTCCATAAAAATAGAAATAATATGCAATTAAGTGTCAATACTCTTGCGGTACTTCTTTTTCGAGAAATACCTATACTTGTGTAAAGTACGCGATTTGATGAATTTTTCGCTCGTTTTAGAGTGACAAAAGAGAAGAGGCGTCAGTTACTTGGCAACGCCGCATGAATTCTCACGCGTGAAGTTAACTTCTATGTAATATTTTGTACATACATAAATATCTTTTTAAGCACGAATACAAGTTGAGCACGACTGGAGCCGGAGAACGTCCTTATAATAACAATTTCGTACCTCCCAGCTCAACGCGTATACTTCATCCCAAAGAGCAGCTGTTTTTGTCTTTGATCGTTCGCTATGTGGTAACCTGCTATCATATAATGCAGGCTTCTGGCCCACGAGAGCTATTAGTAATTCGTCAGATGTTGTTTCCGTATACTGCTTCTGTACATCCTCCAAAATGCATATCATTCCATCGTCGGTTCTTTTGCCTGCAAAATATACATTTCTGATAGAAAACGATTCTGATTGATTAAAATATATTGATTTTTGAACTAAATCTTAGTAATTCCATTAATTTTTGTGAATATTTCTAATTCAATTAATTTTTAATCGATAACAATCAATTTATATTTTTAACATTTTTATCATAATTGAAAACTATTGAATATGATTGATATCAATTAAAAACAAATACAAATCAATTTATTCGTCAATAGGTATTAAGATTTACTTTAAAAATAAATATGTTTAAATCAAGATGAGTTCCCATAATAAACCAGAAACTGATGAGCACCCATCTTGAAATTTTCAATAGTATTACATATAAATATAATGTAAAAGCATTGACAACGCGCACATGATTTTAATAAATCATACAAACTTCGATAGTTTATGCTAAAATAATTATACGTATAATTAATTATAACTTTAAACTGACCTTTTCTTATAATATTTTCTTCATCAATAATTAGAGCGTCGTTGTCCTCGTCAAAATTAGCGAAGCAGGAATGCTTCAATAGTTCCGCATAATTCATAGCCCAGTCAAATGGGCAGAAATTTTCACCTTTCAAGGAAATAAT